TAAGAAAAAGATGTCTATTATCGCCACTATTATTTAATATTATTTTTGCAGGTACTAGACAAGACAAGTAAACAAGAAAAAGAGATTAGCAGTATAAAGATTTGAAAAGGAGATAAATTTATAATGTTTATTACTTGTACACATAGGATGTATAGCTGGCAAACTTGAAATAATCAACTGCCAAACTACTACAAAACTATTAGTACTATAAGAGAATTCAGCAGGTAATCTGGGTACAGAGTTAATATACAAAAATCAATAGCCTTTGTATATGCAATCACCAACGAGTTAGAAAATATAAGAAAAGATTCCATTTATAATGGAAAAGGCAATAAAAAAGGTAAAAAATAACTAGGACTATACTTGAGAAATGTGTAAGATCTCTATGAGAATACACTATTTAGATTATCAAAAGGAGATTAAAATGGAAAGGAATATTATATCCTTGAATAAGAAAACTGTATCATAAAAATGTTATAGGTGGGGACTAAAGCTTCCAGATGTTACAAAATACTACAAATCCTCTAGAATTATCTTCTATCCATCTATCTATCTATCTATCTATCTATCTATCTATCTATCTATCTATCTATCTAGTATTGGTATAAAGTCAATTCTTGTTTTTATTGGTTTAAAATTCATCATTGTGTTTGTTTTGGTGCCCAAATTACCCTACATTCAGTTAGTAGAAGGTGCTTGAATCTGGTCCTTGTGATATGCCTCCATCTTTTTTTTTTTATTTAACAATTCCTTGCCTTCTGGCATAAAAAGTTGTTTCAGACTCATTTTGTGCCTACCCTACGCTGGCCCTGGAACCAGCCATTGCTCTGAGGGGCCCTGGTTCTTCTTAACAAGGAATTGTGTTAGAAACTATGTTTAGGAAGGCAGAGTCTTAAAATACTCCATTCCATTGTAGAATGGGGAGATGATCATCTTATAGAATTTTAAAAATTGAGATATAATTGACATATAACATTATATTAGTTTCAGGTGTACAACATAATGATTTGATATTTGTATATATTGTAAAATGATCGCCACAATGTCTAGTTAACATAGAAGTTTTGACACTACTCCCCCAAAGACTGCTAAAGCCATGTTGTAGTTTTACAACTAAAGGTAAAAATGTGTTTTAAAGATAAGTTAAAGAAATGCATCTGATTTAGATGCCACTTTTACGCCACTCGAAACTCTCCTACGAAGCCTCTTTTGGGGTAACAGTTCTGAGCAGTCTTACCTGCTGGTCTCTCCCTGGAGCCATGCACACCTCTTCCTTCCTGTCCTGGGGGGCTTCCTTGATGCCACAGCATGGGACCCCTTGGGAACTGCTCTGTGCTCACGTCCATGCAACCCATAATTTTTGGAGAGTTAATATCCAAGAGATCACCCTTGACCAACAGAAGATGGGAATGATGGTTAAATGTTTCTCCAGGATAGTTTAGAGACGCATTTTGCAGAGCTCCTAGGATGGCCCAGGAGGTTGGAGCCCCAGTTGCCCTCCACAGGGGCTATCTCAGTAACTCATTCTTTTGTTGGCCTTCCCTCCCTCCCTGTTTCACTCCTCCTGCCTTTCACTCCCACTTGCTGGGATCACCTCCCAAATACCTGTATGGAAGCTTTTGTTTCATGTTCTACTTTGGTGGGGGGAGAGGTTCAGGCTAAGATAGCATCATTAAAAACATATAAAATTCAAAGTGGAGGGATGCTAATTGCCAGTTTACTCACATCTTGCAGGGCAGTTGAATAGCACGATAAAGCAAGATTAGTTTATTTTACATAAATTATCATTTTGGAACTCAGTGACTTCTCTGCCCCTGCAATATATCCTCTTCCTCCTTCACCTGTTTCTCCCTTTTCTAGCTCTCCTGATCTCTTTGTTTCCATGCATCTATCCCGCTGATCTTTCTTATCTCTAGTCCTCCATCTCTTTACACTTCATTCTATTTCTGTCTCCCTCAAGCCTTTGCTCTTTTTCTGTGATTCCTCTTTTTATTTTATTTTATTTATTTATTTATTTTGCGGTACGCGGGCCTCTCACTGTTGTGGCCTCTCCCGTTGTGGAGTACAGGCTCCGGACCCGCAGGCTCAGCGGCCATGGCTCACGGGCCGAGCCGCTCCGCGGCATGTGGGATCCTCCCGGACCGGGGCACGAACCTGCGTCCCCTGCATCGGCAGGCAGACTCTCAACCACTGTGCCACCAGGGAAGCCCTGTGATTCCTCTTATTTCCTCCCATTTCCTACAGTTAGCAAACAAAGTTGAGAATCAGCCTGGCTCTTTGGACACTTGAGTTCTTTGGCCTTTTGCTCCTTGCATTGTCTCACAAACAGGGGACGGAAATGTCGGAGATTGTGTGCTCCTCCAAACCAAGGATTCTGAAAGCTTTGTTGAGTATTGATGGGACTGGCCCTTAACAGACATCTCATGAATGTTGAAGAATTAGCATGTGAAACATATACAGAAGAGATGGTGGAAGTTTGACTTCCCTGATAGCCACAGAAATCACAGATTGGCTCTGGGAATTGGTCCTGAGTATGGGGATCCCTTAGTCCAGGTGTCATGCCCCAAACTCTGCTCTTCAGCTGGGTCGTGGACGCTTATTCATTCTCAGGAGTGGAAAGCCGGAACCTGGAGAGCAGCTGGGAGATTCAAGAAGTCTTAGCTTTCTGTTTCTTTTCTCCAGGACAGGACAAAGCAAGCCACCTCTTCCTGGACGTGACTGGTTTTGCCTCTCTGTAAAACCACCCGAACACATGCATTTGTTCACATTTCAAAACCACTTTATTAGCAAAATGAACAAAAGGAGAATGGCATTTAAATTAAATAAATTACACAAATATCTCAAGAGTCCCGGTCTTCTCCAGGAACCACATCATTGCTGGTCGGTATAACTAAGAACATTCAGAAGTATTGAAATTCTGGATTATTTGACTATCTTGCTCTCCTTTCCTGCCTCAGTCATGTCCAGTGAGTGGTCTGTGTGAATTTATGTTCTTTCCAAAGTATTCTAACAGTGAAGTTCTCTTCAAGGCCTCCCTCCACCCCAGGGGTTTCCGATCTTAAATCCACTGTGGTTTCTGTGAGTACTTACACCCCTGGACATGGTTCAGGATCCCTCCTTGAGCCCCCAACTCCAGGCCACTGTGAGTCAGCAATCACCTTTTGGTCTGGGGCTGGCCTGGGGGTTAACAGTCACTTCATCAAGTCCTCAAGGTTTCTAGACACTTGGTTCACAAGGCACCTCTAGCTTGGGATGTCCTGAGGCTCTGTGACCTTCCCACACCTCTTGGGCCTGAGCTGGACTCTGCAGGAGGTGGAGCAGGGGAGGGTGAGTTTTCATTGGCTACGGTTCTTGTCCTCTCGAAATCTGGCACTTCGGGTGCTGGGCACGGTAAATCCCAGATAACATTGTCTTCTGCCTTCCAAGTTTTGAGTTCCATTGGCAGCCAGATGGCATAATGAATTCACAAAGAAGCAATGCTTGTAGGCCAAGAATCTGTTGGCTCTTCACCAGCACCCCCTCCTTTAACTCTACGAAGACTTGCTAGCTGACCAGCTCACTCAATGCACGGGCACACAGTGCAGGTCAGGCTGAAGTTAGGAATTCGGACATTTTTCCAGGCTGGGCCAGCCCATCCTGTTGGGCAGGGATCATTCATTGAAGGAACTTGGGAGAATCAGTGGGGAGAGGCCAAAAGGTTTTTGGTGCACTTCCATGGAAAATTTCCCAAACACTTGCACATGGAACCTATTTATTTTCAAGTCAACAGTGGGGTTTCTCTACCTTCTTATATAGAGAGAGAACTTAACCCCTCTTCTCATCTATCCTGGAAGGAGATGGCCTCAGGTCCTGAGTTTGTTAAGGAATCCCTGTGGAGGAAGACCCGGTCTGGATCAGCGCTTCTCCATGCTTGGTACCCAGTTGGGATATGCCCTTGGTGGGGTGTCCTCCCTTGCCTGGCTGAACGATTCAGGCCCCAAGCTGATAAGGGAGAGTTAAAATCATTGGCTCTTTGCCAAATGAAGAGAACAAGGCAGATTTCCCAAGTGGGGGAGGCATTTCTAAGGTCAGGGAGACTGTCAGGGCCCAGGTCCCACCAGTTGGCCCTGGATTGGTACTAGCGCCCCCTGCCCCTCCACATCTCCAGTACAAAGAGGGGAAGCTTTTGTGCAGAATAACTAGTATCTGTTGCTGGGTTGCCAGAGGATTCTGCCAGCTACCCCCCCCCACCCCGGTCCCTTTTGGGTTCCTACCTGGTCTCAAGTAGGAGGAAGCAGCCCTTGAGGGCAGGGCGAGTGATAATGTTTCAGGAGGCTGACGTGGCTACCTTGGTGGGCTGCCCCTGGGGAGATAGCTCTGGTAGCCACTCCCCAGGCTAGAGTCTGATGTGCTAAATAGTAGTAGAGGTCTCAGCAGCCTTGAGATGAGAAAGAAGGGGACATAGTCACCAAGACAGAGATACTGGGCTGTGGGAGCACATGGTCCCAGGGGTACAGAGCTGCCAGAGACAGACTGGGCAGCTGGAGAGGGCAACCACAGAGTCCTAAGCAAGTTCATCTCTGAGTCCTGTGACAGCTTGACACCATCTGACACCAAGCCATGCTGGCGCCAGGACACTTTCGAAGCTTGCACTCTACGTCAGCACACGGCTTCCTCTCTGTTCCTGGCTCAGTCTTAAAGTCCAGCAGTCGGGGGTCCTGTCAGCTGCCACAGGCAGGGTGTGGGTGGGAGCGGTGGAGTGAGAAGGAGGCCTGCTTGCTGCTGGCTGGGGCCCTGAGGGTCAGCAGAAGGATGAAGAGGTGTCTCTCCCTGCCCTTGAGATTGGCTTGCTCTAGAGATGCCGGGAGGGGAATGAGAGAGGAGGAGGAGGGTGGAGAGGTACTGGAGTCCTGGTGGAGGTGTTTTCCTCTACCCGCCACTCTCCATGATCCCAGGCTCATCCTTCATGGGAGTCCCAGGTGCCAGGTGCTCTGCAGGCAGCACGGGAACCGGCTGGGCCCTCACAGGGCGGTCAGGGTCTCTGCGTGAAACATGCTGCCGAACATCTCCTGCAGGGCCACAGGGAGGAAGTGGGAGGGGGAGAGACAGAATCAGACCTGTTGGGTTCAGAGTGGTGGCAATCGCCAGGTGACCCTATGAACCCCTGGCCAGAAAGAGGCATTTTGAGGAAGTGTGTGTGAGTGTGTGCACGTGTATATGTGAACCGGGGAGAGGCAGGGTCAGCCTAAGAGGTGAACTGGTACAGAGGTGACAAGAGAAGATGCTTGAAATCTAACTTTGAATCACCTCTGGTGTGCTGTGTGACTTTCACAGGTCCTGCCCTCCTTTTTCGTTCCACTTTCTTTATTAGGTAAAATGAGGGTTGAGATCAGACAAACTCTGAAGTCCTTCCTTGCTCTGATAAGCTATTTTGGTCCTACCCAGGCTTTTGGAATGTGCTGGAGATTCCATGGGGACCCAGAAATCCATCCGCCAAATCTTTGTGGCCCCGGCTCTCTTTCCTAATGCCTCCCGCATGCCCTCAGCACCCCCAGAGACATGTTTAGAGGACCATGGAACTCATACCCCAAAAGAATGGGAAGAGGAACAAAGTGAGCTGTTACTTCTAATAGACCCAGAGCCAAATTTCTCTAAACCTAGTGATCTGGTTTCTTTTAATTCGGGGCATTGGGGTGGGGCTACTTTTCATATCAGGACCATAGGGCTCTATGTGAAGTAAGACTTCACACCTGCATAGCTCTTAGCTCTTAAAGCCCATCCACGTGCAGTAATATTTGTATCCCTCATGTATCCCTAGAATTCATCTGATCCTACCAGAATGTAAGTTTTCTAAGGGCAGGGGTCTTTGTTTTATTCACTGCTGTGTGCCCACCCTGGGATAGTGTCAGGCAAGTAGTAGGCACTCCATAAATGCCAGTTGAATTAACAAGAGAACAAAAGCAACCCCCGCTAATCTTGTTAGGTAGATGGGACAAGGTATTCCCCATATTCCCCTTATTTTACAATGATAAACACTGGGGCCTGGTGGTGTTGTGTGGCTTTCCGAAGATCAAGTAGCAGGTGCGTTGGAGAGTTAAGAATAGATATTAGTTATCCAGGACTTGGTCCAGTGACTCTCCCTTCCCCCATGATGCATTTCAGGGAGTGAGAAGAATTAAGATCTGCTATTAAAAGAAAGATGAGAAAGAAACATTGTTGCCTTCAAGGTGACTGCTCTGGCTTAGAGATGGGAGAGCCCAGCCAACACTATGGGTTTGAGAAGGTCTCCTTCCTTTTCCTCCTGACCCCCAGCCCTCAGCTTACCTGCTCTAAGTCCCAGCAGCTGGGACTGTCCTCCTCCGAATCATACAAAGAGAGCTCGGGGTCCACTGGAGCCTGGATGGGGGAAACAAGTGCAAAATGAGCTGCAGTAACTGAATGATGGTCTGGCACAAATGGCAGGCTCCGGGGTGGGTGGGGGGCACCATGTGTTCTGATGCATAACTTGTCCTCTTGACTTTGCCCTCACCTCCCTCATTTGCCTCTCAAAATACAGCACAGCTGTGGTTTTCCTCCTCACAGCAGACAGGTGTACATCAGGGTGGGCTTCCTTGGTGGGCATTTCAGAGGCAGGGAAGGTTTACCTAGCTTACAAGGATGACTGGCTAGCTGCCTGACCTGCGAATCCTTTTCCCTTCTCTGGGAATCTGTTTCCTCATCTGTAAAAGTAGGATAATCAGACTCACTTTGCTGGCTCTCTACCTCACCATGCTGTTGAAAAGGGTGTGTGTGTGTATAATTTATAGATATGAATATATTCTGTAATAGTTAAATATACAATACCTATAATATACATTTTTAAGAATATATAAACTGTAAATAGTGGACATTATTTGTGCAATAACAGATGATGAGGATTCTTCTGGAATCTCCCTCTCTTTGCTCTGGTGACAAGGTGCATGAGGCTAGAAAGGCCGCTGCTCTCACAGTTTCCCTCTGTGTGGTAGGCAGGCGCCAGGCCCCGTGTTTCCCCGGGCAGGCTTTCAGCGCTTAGAACAGATGGCTTCACCTTCATCAGTCTCTTAAAGCAAACAGCAAATGGTTGCTCTAGGGCCAGAAAAGCCTTTCTTATGACCCACAGAGGGCAGAAGAGGTTTGTTTCATGGACTGGGGCACAGAGTCTTGGGAGGCCAAGGGTAGAAGCTGAGCTGGCAGGGGAGCCTGGGAGGTGGCATCGGCTGGGGATGCCTGGGCAGGGACCCCAATGGGATGGGCTTTTTCTGCCTCCCAGCTTTCTGGAGTGTTATTTGTAGACAGTGTTATTTGTAGCTCATTTGCATACCACTTACTGAGCTAGTAAATTAAATGTCAAGAAGCTGAGACAAAACTCTGATCCATACTCTTCATCCATCACCAGCCTGAAATCTCCAAGCTCTGCTAAATTAAAACAGGCAGGCTTACTCCCCTCCCTTTCCCAAAGCCTCTTGTAGAAAGAGTGAAGGAATAGCAGGGGTGAGCAATGCCAGAATACCAGGCATAACCTGCTGTGCTTTGGGTGTTTGTGTGATCTGGAAATTGATATTAATAAGGATTTTGTAATATACAAAGCTCTTTCAAGTGACATAGAAGATACAATTATCAGTTAATCTTAAAACCAAAACAAAAGAAAAATCCCGTGGTAGATAATGTTACCTTAGAGTAGAGTACCCATTCCACAGATAAGAAAACTGAGATTCAGAAAAGTTAATTGACAGAATTGGTGTTGGAACCCAAACCATCCTGCTACTTCAGTGACCCAGGGCCTAGGATTCCTCAGGTGCAGGGACCTTACCCCTTGGAAGTTGTGTGCTGGGGCCACTTCCCTGGCCTTTGCCTGGGCAAACAGGACTGCGTCGT